TGTGGGCAGCCACTATACTGACTGAAGAAGAAGGAGCAGTGAGGTTTAAATTCTATGCAGTTACGTAAGCATTGAGTGGATTCATCCAGGGCACTTTAAGAGGGGTAAGAGGAGGGGTGTTTGCTTCTACAACTTGGCAGGATTTTAAATATTGAAATTGTCAAACTGTTTCTCTAAAAAAAAAAAAAAAAATCCCCTGGCCATTTCAATTGGGTTATATAATTTTTAGTCCAATAGAAAATATTACTGGGCATGCATTTCAGCAATGGATAAAGCACTTCTAGATGGAGATGTATCTAGATATTGTACTTAGCACTATTGTATTTGAGTGCCAGAAAATCTCTAACCTGCCTAGTAAGAGAGCAGAGATTTTTTTTTTTTTAAAGCAGTAGTATTTTTCTATGGCAGTAGTTCCCAATCTGTGATGCACATACCACCAGTGGTATGCAGACAACCTGTCAGTGATGCACATAAACAGATTTATTATAATTACTGTATATTTAAAAATAATGCTGGTGGTACTTAAGGTTGAACTGAAAAATTTTCTTGTGGTACTTAAGGTTATATTGTTTTAAATTGGTGGTGCACAATCTGTCAGAGGTTTGAGAACCACTGTGCTATGCTCCCCAGATGTTAATGTGCTGTAAGTATACTGCCAAAACAAAGGTATATTTAAAAAACTGGCAGGTGATTATATGTTTTTCTCTTACTTGGATCACACATGAAAATGATCTTGCTCTAGTCTGAAATGATAAGGTACAGGGGAATTTCATCCTGCCGCTTTAGATTTCTTTTCTTCCATTGGCTCTAGCCAAGACAATCTTTCTCAGTCTGGGACCACATATTATTTTATGACTCTCTTTCTGGGGCTTCTGTATGAGTAGTACTTGCCTCTGGACTTCATGGAGCTTTAAAAAGAAGTGACTGGAACAAATATCGCTTTTCCTGACTCTTCAGAGTTATGGTGGGGAATGTGAAGGAAAGAGATAGGACTTGATAAAAAGTGCTAAATCTTGCTCCATTTTTCTGTCTGATCTTCATAAAATTAAGGGGGAAAATGTTTTGCAAAAAAAGTTTCTGTTTAAACTGTTTCTTCTTTACATTTGACTTATTTCCCTATCCCCAGTCCAAAGTACCTTCTGAACTGTCATTTTAAACAAAAGTATTTTCACTGTTATGTAAAGTGCACCTAAATCTGTTCCTTGTATTTTCTTTATCCAGTGCAATACTGTCATCTTATTTTTTAAATGAGAAGCTGAATATTCATGGAAAGTTGGGTTGCATTTTAAGTATTTTGGGATCAACAGTGATGGTTATTCACGCACCTGAAGAGGAGGAGGTCACTTCATTAGCAGAAATGGAAATAAAACTACAGGATTCAGGTCTGTTACTTAAACCAACCCTATTTAATTAAATTTTTGTGTAGAGGATTTCTAAGTATCTTTGCTTTCACAGGTGTCAACAAGTATTGGAGGGTTTGACTGAGCTGTATGCTACCACCTCCTGAGCACGTCTACACAAGACACTGACTGCACAGTAACTGAATAATACTGCCCAGTAGCATGTCACAGCACTAACAGTACTAATACAGTACTGCACAGTATTATTGGGTTACTGCATGGTAGCATCATTTAAGGCATTCACTGGCATACTAAATACATGTGCAGTAACCACTGCACAGTAGTGTCTCATTTCAAAACACTCCCCGTTTAGTTTTCCTGCAGTGGAAAGTCAAGTTCAGTATTTCTCTGGCATCTTCTTACTGTAACATTCCTTGAGGTTAAAATTCAGGCCATCACTGTTAGCAAACAAGACTTACTAAAACACTCTCTTTATATATGTGCACAGAGAGAAATCTGTGTATACGTTGATGCACCCTATGCCAAAGTTAAGGTTCGACCTGGTCTGGTGTTTCCAGTCTGCAGATTGGGAGGAGTATTTCTGAAGCAGAGCGATATCTGAGTTGGGATGATCATCTTTAATTTATAAATACTATAATGAGCACCCACTGAAAGTGCTATAGAAGTATTTTATGGGTAAATCTTCGAAATGCCCCATGAGGTGCTTTAGAATAGATCATACTGTGAAGTTCATGTATAGCAATGTTCCTTTAGGACCTGCAGAAAAAAGACCTCGGTTCTTTTCTACCAAATATCAGCAAACATACTTTTAGTATTTTCTTTGTATGTTTTTGGCATTTTCCAGTAAGCAAGGGTGATGCGATACATCTTAAAAATTGTATTTGAGATTGCCTACAATTGTTCTAAACTACTATAATTTGACAACCTTTTCCAGCTGCAGGCTGGAATGACACACCTCAGGTCGGGGAAGATGGGTGGGCACTATGACTTGCCCTCACCCAGCATTTTTCCCCACAGTGGCAAGGGGAAAATACCTACAGCCAAAGATCCATGTCCATACGCTGGATCCAAAGGCTCTCTGGGATGGATCTGACTCATGGGTCGTAGGTTGCCAACCCCTGATATAGATTTAAAAAAACAAACCCTCATATATGGTAGCTAATCAATGCAAATCTACTGGCTGTCTGTTGTAGTGTCTAATTGCATAAAATGTATAGACCTCCAAAGGATTCATTCATTCCTGACTGACTAGTTGATCAGGCTTTTGGAGAATAGCAACTTTGGCAGAATACCTTGTTCTTTCAGGGACGTGTACAGGGAGCTATTCACCATCAAAATGTATTTAAGTGTGTGCATGCGTGCGCTGCAACTGTGAGGGAGAGGGTTAGCAAATTTGACAGATTATGCTGTGGAAGCAAGGATGGCCCAGAATGAGTAAGTGAAAAGTTCAGTCCTGATTTGTTCCACCAAAATGCTGTGAACTTGGTCTAGCTAATGGAAGGAAATGACCTTTGGGGATATGACGGGGCCACCTTTATGTTATAAAATTGTTTTTGCAAGATTGATAACTTACTGGTTGCCTTTTTTTACAAAATAAGGGGAAAAGTATATTTGTAACTTTGCGTGCCTTATTGCATCAAAATGTTTTAAACATAAAATAGATGTTTTTCACTTTTTTTCCTCCCCTCCCTTTTTCCAGTGTTTATGGCATTTGCTGCTGTTCTAATGGTCATCTCCCTAGTGTTGATTTTTGTTGTGGCTCCGAGGATAGGTCAGACGAATATCCTGGTCTACATCTCAATTTGTTCTGTGATTGGTGCCTTCTCTGTTTCATCCATCAAAGGCCTGGGCATTGCCGTTAAAGAGATGCTGGAGCAGAAGCCAGTTTACCTACATCCACTGGTTTATATTTTGGTGGGGACATTGGTGCTGTCAGTCAGCATTCAGATCAATTATCTCAACAAAGCACTGGATGTGTTTAATACATCTTTAGTGACACCTATCTATTATGTGTTTTTCACCATGATAGTTGTGACATGCTCCATCATATTGTTCCAAGAATGGAATAGCATGGACATGGGTGATATCATTGGGACCCTCAGTGGATTTTTTACTATAATCATAGGCATTTTTCTTTTGCATGCTTTTAAAAATACTAATATCTCCTGGAATCAATTGATAGCTGCTACCATAAAAGAATCTTCACTGCCACACCATGAATATGAAACTCATCATACTTTATTGGAGGACACATATGAGGAGGAGAATACTTTGTTTAATAGAAGACACATACAGGGAGCAATTCACCATTAAAAAATTTAATTACAAGCCAGATCCACTTCAGCCTACCAGAACACAATTTCCATCTATCCTTCTCTGCAAAACAGTATGAAGTGAGCTAGCATTAGCTACAAAGTGATCTACGTGGAGAAATAACCAACAGTCACTTTGACATTGTCCATAATGAACAGAAAGCTATGAATTACTGAATGGCACAAATAGAATTATGATGTTGTTGCCACTTATTCCTTGGCCAGGTCTCTAGCAGTATATTTGTTTCTGCAAGGTTTCTACATAGTATGACAACTGGAAATCTTTTTAAGTTGAAAAATTGGGGCATGTACAAGTTGTATTAATAAAATATCCTTTTTTTCCTTTCATGATCCACAGTAATAAACAGCTTTACTAAGGTGAAAGACATTTTGCAGTGAAGGCATTAATTTATAGATATAATGATGTTTTCAAAGAGTGATAATCTTAATATTTGCCAAACTAATTACATGTAACATTCTACTTTTGAAGACTATCATTTAGTAGAGATTCTAAACAACATGCCATCTTCTGCAATTAACATTGCTACAAAGCTGTTAATTTGTTAAATGAAATCTTCATTGTGACCACCTACCACTGGACCTGGTACAGATAGTATGAAAACTTTTATAAAAATCAGTTATTTGGAAGCTAATGCCCAACTACATATATTTGTACCCGTTAACTTTTATTTTGCATTATAATCCTATCATTTCATTTTAAGTGAGATGTTTTCAACTTATCAAATTCATACACACTTTGCATGCCTTCTTCCCTTGAAACTCTGGCCAGGATTTATTAAGAAATCAAAAGGATTTTTTTAAATGAAACTCTTCTTGATGGAAATGAAGATATTTGAAATAAAAAGAACAGTTGTTTAAAGGAAGAGAAGATATGTGTATAAATAAACCTTTCAAAACGCACAAATCCCTTCCTTCAGAACCAAAAGATGGATGAATTAAAATCTGTATGTGATGCTGTCTAATCCAAAATGGAGTTACTGGATTAATGCTTTGACTTCGATGTGATATTTTCCTTACACCGAAGTTTGTTTCTACTAATTACCTCAAGCCATTGTCTTCTGTGTTGCTGTTGGGTGGAGTCCATGTTTATGTTCATTTCCGTATCTCTTTTTGCACCCCTAGATTCTACTACTAAATCCACGCAACTACACCTTAAAATCCTGTATTTTTTAAATCTGTACTTCTCAGGAAAAGAATCATTTAAGTGTTTGTTAAATGTTCAGAAAATCTGATAAGTGCACAAACTTAAGATTGACCTTTTATTTTCTTTGAACAAGCCATAAATAAGTTTGTTAATCATTTTGAAAACTATAGCAACATGAATGCAATAGTTAAAAGCAGGGCTGTGATATGCAGTTTATATAATGGGTGATCAAAATAAGCAAATACTGTATTATGTTAAGCACTTTGTTTTGTCTATCCCTTATGGTTTACAACGACCTTTATATTTGCTGCACAATTAAATATATTTACTTCATAAAAGTCTACTGTATGCCTTCATGAGCTATTATCTGTGCTACAAGAGTCTCTTAGTTGTAGTTGTTAACTGTGAAACCTGAAAATGACAACTTATCTGTTCACAGATTGCATTTTATTGCACGATTTGCATTTTACTCGTTTACATCTCATTACTTGCTATACTCTGAGCCAGAAAATGATTTCAGCCATTCTTTGTGTACATCTTAAATAGGGTTAGGATGCTTAAGCTGTAAAGCACTTCATTACTGTTTTATAGTATGGCTCCCTTGAATTCTGAACCACTTGGTCAGATATTAGAATTTAATCCATTCTTTCTTCTTGCTCACAAGTGATGTGGGTGAAACATGCAAAATTTTATGTAATAAAGGAATACCAAGAATCTTCTGCATTTTGGAGAATGAGGCTGTGCTCTTTTGCATTTCATATTTTCATAAAGCAAATCTTTGCACTGGGGGCCCCAATCAGCTGACTGCCACTCTGAGCTTGGGGGTTAACCAGAGGCCTTGACTTTAGTGCACCCCTGAGGCTAGTAACAGCAGTCAGCTGATTGACTGGTGCATGGGGAGCCCGGGATCAAGGTTCCCTCTAAGCTGCGCAACTGCATGGCCGTGCATGATTTAAAATCTTAAGGCCAGATAGGGGTATGCATTTTTAAAAAATGCTAGGATTTTTTTGCATATATAAAATCAACTAATTTTTTAACATTCTTCTCCTTATCTGCTTGCTTATCTCATATATCTTTCATAGTTTCTAGGGTCAGAAGGGACCTGAGCAGATCATCTAGTCCAACCCCCTGCCATGGCAGGAAAGAGTACTGGGGTCAAATGACCCCAGCAAGGTGTACATCTAGCCTCCTCTTAAAGAGCTCCAGGGTAGGAGCCAGCACCACTTCTCTTGGAAGTTGGTTCCAGATCGTAGCCGCCCTGACTGTGAAGTAGCGCCTCCTGATATCTAGCTTAAATCTACCCTTTGCCAGCTTGTGACCGTTATATTTCTGGTCACTCCTAGTAGTGCACAGGGAAACAGGGACTTCCCCAGTGCCTGCTGGTCCCCTCTGACTAGTTTGTAACAGGCCACTAGATCCCCCCTCAACCTTCTCTTGTGGAGGCTGAACAGGTTCAGGTCCCCTAGCCTCTCCTCGTAGGGCCTGCCCTGCTGCCCCCTGATCACAAGAGTGGCCATCCTCTGGACCCTCCCCATGTTGTCCACATCCCTCTTGAAGTGCGGCACCCAGAACTGGATGCACTACTCCAGCTGCGGCCTGACCAGTGCCGCATATAGGGGGAGGATCACCTCCTTGGACCTGCTTGAGATGCATCTGTGGATGCACGACAAGGTGCAGTTGGCCTTCCT